ATATATATTTTTTTTTGAGCTGAAATCAAAAGATGTCTTGCTGATTATTGTATGCTATATAAATATAATTTCTGATTTTATTTTAAAATATCTATAAATTTAATTAAATATAATAATAAAATCAAAATACAAAAATTACCTTCATCTAAATAAATTTCCCTTTCTGATCCATCAATTTTTTGTTTTTCAATAATAAATCTTTGCACATCCGAATAATAAATATAATGTGATTGAGCATCATAATCCAAAGCTACCGGACGTTTCAATCCCATTACTGGTACCATAACTTCTTCTTGTTTACCACCTGAACCCATTGTTATGCCTTTAATTGCACCTGGTCTTCCTCTGCTATATACAAGAAACTGTCCTTGCTTGGCAGCTATAAAGTAAAATTTAGATATATTAGGCATATCTTAATTTTATTTTAGGTTAATGTATATTGTTTCAAACATAGTAACAGAAGCAAATAATTATGTTATAAACATTCAAAAAAAAAAAAAAACAATTATTCATTACATAAAATAATCTTTAAGAACTAGCAACTTTTTAATGTGAAAAATTTTTAACATTTTTTATAAAAACGTTGCGTACTGTTAAATTCTTAATTATATATCATAATAACCATTATATGATATTTAAAAAAGAAATAATTTGATTCTTTGCAGACACACTAAGGTGACATATATCAACACTTGGCAACTTATTGACTATTTATTCAGTTGGGACGCCTTTTACATTACGCGTTTCGGGCATTGGCCCCTCTTCAGCCAACTAGACATAAAAAATAAAACATGAGAAAATTTGTACAAAAATACGCGAGTAGATAAACTGTTTTTTTAAAAAAATTTTTTAAAAACATACCATAAAACACAAACCACTATTGTACAGATGTCGAACAGGATGGACAATTTCATATTTCATATACAACTTGGATAACAAACAAGGTCGACGATAATCATTGGAGAACAAACAGGGTCGTAGATAGCAGCTTGACTACTGGGCTTTTAAATATGGCTTTCTTATAATTTACACAAAATTCAAATAAATAGATTGACAATTACAACATATCTTAACAATATTTGTTTTTACCTGTGGTTGATATTCGCATATTACACCGAAATTCATTCGATATTAGTTGTCGCCCTTTCTTTCCGAACAAAATTTCACAAAGTCATCTTAGCAATATTATCCAAACTGCCAATTTACATAGAACATACTTAAAGCAATTACATTAATTGTACAAACTAGTAATTATTATTTGTATNCAACTTAAATCGTATGTCTTTATGAATTGTAAGTAATACAAATAATAATTACTAGTTTGTACAATTAATGTAATTGCTTTAAGTATGTTCTATGTAAATTGGCAGTTTGGATAATATTGCTAAGATGACTTTGTGAAATTTTGTTCGGAAAGAAAGGGCGACAACTAATATCGAATGAATTTCGGTGTAATATGCGAATATCAACCACAGGTAAAAACAAATATTGTTAAGATATGTTGTAATTGTCAATCTATTTATTTGAATTTTGTGTAAATTATAAGAAAGCCATATTTAAAAGCCCAGTAGTCAAGCTGTTATCTACGACCCTGTTTGTTCTCCAATGATTATCGTCGACCTTGTTTGTTCTCCAAGTTGTATATGAAATATGAAATTGTCCATCCTGTACGACATCTGTACAATAGTGGTTTGTGTTTTATGGTATGTTTTTAAAAAAATTTTTTTAAAAAAACAGTTTATCTACTCGCGTATTTTTGTACAAATTTTCTCATGTTTTATTTTTTATGTCTAGTTGGCTGAAGAGGGGCCAATGCCCGAAACGCGTAATGTAAAAGGCGTCCCAACTGAATAAATAGTCAATAAGTTGCCAAGTGTTGATATATGTCACCTTAGTGTGTCTGCAAAGAATCAGCTTAATAACAACAACACGGTTTCATCAGAATCAAAAGAAATAATTATTGTAATAAATAAAAATTGTCAATCTCCAAATAAGTCACAATAATCTTTTAACATTTATGTTTGCTATTTTTGTATCATTGACATTTGCTTGTATTTATGTTTTTAAGTTTTGATTATAATATGTATTTATTTATTTCTTATATCCCTTATATTTAAACTGTATGAATGTTTCATTGATTTAGAATGTTCCTCCCATTCTTTTCAATTTAAATTATTTATGTTGCATTTAATATATTTTTCGAATGTTCTTTTTTTCTTTTTCATTTAAGTTTGATGTTCCACTGAACAAGGTCTATAGAAGTATGTCAAAAATGTTCTTGGCTAATTAAACATATTGCTGCAATTATACAAGGAATACTGCTTCTTTTGTTTGATTACTTTTCCAGTTTTGTCAAATTATATATCTCATTGACATTTAGTACAGCTATTCTTGATTCTATTTAAAGAAAATCTGCCAATATTATACAATCTATATTGATTTCTATCAGTATTTGATTCGATTATTTCATTATCATTAATCATATAGCTCAATGACAACTCTGACTTTATTCTTGTTATTTTTTCTTGATTTAATAATTATTTTATTGTAAAAATTATTCTACGTATAGTCCCTATTTTGTTTGATAACTTTGTATGCACAACAAGAGCAAAGGACTTTCCGATTCTTGATGATTGTAATTAAAAAAATCCACACACAAATGAAAAACAGAAAACTTACATAACTCAAAAACAAAAAAAATAAGAAAATTAGGTTTTGCAAGCAACTGCCTCTTAAACATTCATAAATTCAAATAGACATTCTCTTTCCACATTCTCCATGGTTGCTGATAAACTTTCTGGCAAGAATTTTTTTATTTTTGCAAGAAAGATTTTGATAAATTTGAAACTTAAATGAATGAATTAAAAAACCTCTACAATATAAACAATTTATGAGCAAAAGTTTTGATCATAGTAATAAAACATACTGTAGAAAAAATCAAATTTGTGAATACTCAGGAGGTAGTCAAATCAGGAGGTAGTCATTTTGTCAGATCTGCCTTTCTATATAAATAAATAAGTTTATAGTTTGTGTCTTTATTAATTTTTAAAAAAGTTAGAATCAACAAAAATCAGAAAGCAAATTTTGTTCACCCATTTAACCAACATTCCTCAAGAATCAGCTCTCAGTAGTCTTATTTTTGTTACTTCTGTTAATCCAATTATCTTTGTTTCATTATTGATCATGTTTGGCCTACACTAATGCTTATTAATGATTTAAAAATTATTAGAATAAACAAGAATCATTATTAATCTGATTTAAACATATTTATGCATTAGTCTATAATCATAATTTCTTTTCTGTAATTATTCTCCTTTTATAATTAAGATTAAATCAATTAGTAATATCTTATAATGACATAATCTCAAATTTTAGATTTGATTTTAATAATAAATTTATTTTTATATTTCATTATACTAAAAGTGTCAAATAGCTAATGTGAAGGACGAATGGATGAAAGTGTTATCTTGACCCTTGATCATTTTACAGTTTCATCGTTTGACTTTGATTTTTTTTTATCAAGAGCTATCATAAAAATTATTTCCCACAGACTTGTTTCCTTGTTGAGGATGATCCATCTAGTCATTAGTGTGTCACCCAGAACTTTCAATAAAGTTCCAGTATTGGACACCAGACCCTTAACAACAGACTCCTGACCTCATGGAAAAAACCAGAAGGAACCCAAATAACAAGGGAGAGCGATGACAAATCCAGTCAGTCGTCCTCCAAAGTTTGCCTCCTGGAAAGTTCGCCCTCACAAGTCACTTCCAAAGTGTGCTAAAATACTGTGCATCCGCCGACCTTATCATAAGGATATCTTACGCACCTGAGTGCCTCAACACTAGTTGGATACCTCCCTCCAAAGTTGCTCCTGTTACCTGAACATGCTAAATATCAAGAACATTCCATCAAACACCCCAAGAACCCCGAAGGTGAATCATCCAGTCATCAATCCTCGACTTCTTTATAAGGTATTTATCCACACGTGAATATCATCTCTCTCTCTCTCTCGTGACAGTTAGATTCGATAATCTAAGGATATATATATCAATCCAAGATGTCTATGATCGTATATCAAGTACTCATGCCCGCTAAAATAAAATTGTTATTGTTTATTAATCTTCCGAGTGAATCACTTCCTCATTTATCTCTCCTCACCTCTACTCCAAATCCAACCGCTTACCTGCGACCATTCATATGATGTAAAGTTGCAATTTCCGAGTCTTGAGAGACTCGGTGGTGTCACATCCTGGGGCCATATTCTGGTCACTGTCTCTGGTCTCTCGTCTCTCGCAAGCCGGTCGCTGATTGGCTAATCCAAATGATTAGCCAATTAACGACCGGCTTGTGAGAGACGAGAGACCAGAGACAGTGACCAGAATATGGCCCCTGATGCGGTATCAAAGAGACACTGACCCTACGATCACACTTATTATTAAACACAGATGCTAGGTGTTCTTTTTGAAATATCTCATCTTTTCCAGTTGTTTGAAAAATATGAAAACAGATATTATAATTGATTAAAATTTGTTCTATTTTAGTGAGAGAGACTATAACTGATTAAACTTTGCTAGCTCGCTCTACTTTTTATTGATGCTGCCACAATACAATTCATTTAATAGTTTTAACAAATCTCTTTCAACTATTTTTCAACTTCCTTTAAAGAATCAACAATTAATTTGATGATCTCAAAATTTTTCCATATAATTTTAATTAGTTTTAAAAACATATACAGTGGATGATCAGTCTATGAACATAATCCATTCCAAGACCATGTTTGCTACCCGATTATCAATTTACCATACATTTTTATGGAAATTTGATTAATTTGTTCTGGAGACCCCCAAAAATAAAAAATTATGTACTTTATTACTATTGTGAAGCCCCAAAAAGGAGTTGAAATTAAATATTTATTATTAGAAATTTATTAAAACGAAACTAGAAGAAAAAATCGTCTATTGTTAAAAACCGATCAAAGATCGAATTAGTTGTGTTAGTCATATGAAACCGCGATGAGAGAAAAAAAAACTTTATTGATGTAAACAGAATGTAATAATTTTAAATGATTAATTAATAATTGTAAACAAACGATCTCCAGTAGAGATGGACCTTTGAAAAGTCGTTCATATGCACATAATTAGAACATAGAAATTTGGAAAAGAGGAAAGATTAATGACGAAAAAGGACATCGCGTCGTGTCGTTAAATTTCAAAAAACGTCACAGACTAGACAACAATGGTGGAAAATATGAGCGCAAGTTTCAAAGTTCCATCAACATTTTGCAGCCAGAATAACGGATGGTGTCAAGTAGATTCTTCAAGGCGGATCTTTCTCGTGACTCGAAAAGGAATCGTTTTTCGCTTAGAAACAGACGAGGGAGCCAATCAGAAAACAAATTGGAGAACGGAGATTGATATAATCCCCGATCTTCAAGGACAGAGGGACTTCTTCCGTAAACTGTGCTACTGAGTACTTACACTCCAAAAAGTCCGGAGCGAAAACTCTCTGTGTGTGTCGACGCACAGAAACGCAGAGTCCGCACAAGTGTCCATCGAAAGAGCCGTGCCGCCGACACCTCCCAACAAGTCTCCTTACCTGCCGCAGCCCCGGGGCCCATCTCCGAGTGACGATAGATAAACATCCACGACGTCTAAACAGTCAACTGTATCAAGATAATTCTTGTTCCTAGGTGTAAGTTTAATTTTATGTATAAAATAAACGGGTTTTTGTGAGATTCTTGTCATCTGTGTCTCCTCCACCACACCCACATACGTTCGACCCTAGATCATTCTGACGCGGGATTAACGATTCCCCCCGAAAGTTGGCGAACTTACACTATGTTTACTTATAAAATAATAAAAATACATACAGTAAAGCATCAATTATCCGAAACAATTCGGGAATGGGGTTGTTCAGATAACTGATTTTTTTGGATAACTGATCATTTACAAAAAGTATATTAAACACAAAACTGTACTGTACATAATTTGTACCACACATCTTACAAATACATACCTTACATAATGTAATATATTAAACTAGGCCTACAGTTCAGTTCGGCAGGGAGGGGAAGAGTGCTGCAATGCCACAGCCCTAGCAAAAATTTGAATTTGCCGACTGGAATGCTTTTGGTTAACCAATGTTTCGGTTGATTGGTATTCGGATAATCGATGCTCTACTGTACATACACAGTCTTTTCTGTTTGTGGATGTTAAAGAATTTGTTCAATGTCTATTGCTTTTCTCTCTTCAAGATTCTTTTGGAAGTAATTAATAGCATTGTCATTGTAGGGATTCCCAAGCCTATTAACCTCAATCTATTTTGGATGCCATTTAGATGATTGTTGTTCTGACATCCTCCCACTTCTTCAAAAGATCTTTAATAGCAGACGTCGGCATTGTTCCTCTTTTGTCTTCCTCTTTTTCAAAAGAAAATACATTTTGCTGAGTTTCTTGGAGTTCTATCATCAGATCAGTTTCCATTATGAGCTCTTCAATGTTCTTTACTTCTCATATGTGATTTTCATTAGTCCTTTAGCTGCTTGAGTCTTCTTGATTATATCTTTCTTAGCTAATATTGTGCCTACTGTAGACCTGTTCAAGCCATACTGCCTACAACATCAGACATCTGCCCACTCTCTACCTTGGCTATTATCTCTCACTTGGTTTCTGCTGTAAGCACAGTTTTTTAAACTCCACTCTTTTTAGGCTCCATAATATTATAAGTTTCTTTTTTAAATAAAAAGTTCAGAAAGTACTTACAAAAATTCAGAGATCAGAAATCAACTAGCACACAAAAAAATTATGTAAATGTGAGGCCTGCATAAAATTTGAAATTTGGTATTAAAACATTAATGAATATCTGATTAAACAGTTAAACTCTCACCTTTTGAAAATAAAAACTGATGCAAAACTTAACGAGTGCATGCCTGACAGTCTTGCAAAGACTATAAAAAATTATTTGTCAGAAAGATAAACAAAAGGCTGGAATTACAAGGGAACGTTTCAAAGTTTGGAGGAATACTATCTGATCGGTATCATGTTGATGTCTCCCAAGCTCTGAAAGGTTTCAAATTGTCACCTGGAGACAAGGGAAGACCAATCAGTATTCTTTATTTTATGTCGCTTTCTTCTTGTGTTTGTTCTGTGAGGTGTTCGTTGTCCAAACATAAAAATCTTTCTTGAATATGTTCGTTGTCCAATTTGTTCGCAGTCTGACTGTTCATTAACCGATCATCCACTGTATTACATATTTTTATATTTTTTCTAAATTTTTTTTTTTACATTATAGCTTTATTATTTCAAAGGAAATGTCTTAGTATACAGTATGATGTCTCTTAAATTTGTATAAGTAGTGAAATAAATAAATTCTTAAATAAGAAAATTTCAATTTATCATACCTACGCATTTTCTCTCAAGAATCAATTTATATCCAGCTTTACATTTACACCGAGCAATAGGAATTTCATTTTTATAAAATACTACGCATATGTGTTCACAATTACCATTCATTATACTGCAAGGATGTGGAACTGAAAAGAAAAAAATTTTTATTATCTTCTTGATTAAAATGCAATAGAAAATACAAACAAACAAATATAACTTAATTTTATTTCACATCTGAAATTTTTCATTGTTAGACTTTCTGAAGTCAGAAAAACTATATCAGTTTTATAAATATCCACAAAATTCACACACAAAATTTTATAAATACATAGTATGTTAAATAATAATAATAAAATATAAAAACATTATTGCTTTTTAGTTAAATCACCAGAACATTCCAATAACTAAATAATTACTAGATCAGAATTTATTCTCTTATTAGGTAACACACTATTAGCTATAGTAGACCTTCCACTTTTATAACCTAACTTGTTCCTGGAAAACAATCGTTAATCAAATTGTAATTTCCATAAGCTCAATATCATAAATTGATATTCTATTCATAAAAATAAATTTTGAATTATGTAATATCACATCAAAGAAAGAGAAGGCCACATCAAGAGTGAAAAAAAAAAAAAAAAACATGGTGTTTAAATATAGCATTTCATGCAATAATAGAAAATTAATAACAGACATGAAAGTAAATATTGTGAAACAAATAGTCAAAGTAACAATCTAGCATAATAGCTGAACTTTATAAGACAATAGCAATTATTTATTGTGACATCATCACAATGCCAGAGTGAAAATTCCTCATACTCCTCTAGCAGCTTTCTTGAGTTAACCTGGTTTATGTACAGCAATTTTTAGTTTTAATTTTTCATGTCAATAATTTTGTTTAGTATCTGCAAATTAAATACATAAATCTTTATTTTATTATTTATTTCTGGTTTTAAAGTTATGAAAATATTGAAAAATAAATTATATAAATCATTGTCAATCAAGTTGGGTTACTGATATAAATTTTAGTAGTCAGATATTTGATTTGTATACAAAGGAGAGAAAGAGAAAAAGGCTTTGAATGTTTTGTTTCCTTCTTCTAACCATGGTTAGAAGGAAACAATTGGAATAATAGAAATAACAATAAACAACAGAAATCTCTATTGGTTTATTCAGTACACTAGCAGGTGCACATCATGATTGCATCACTGTAATAAAAAATAAATTAGAATTTTTTTATATTCACATAATAAAGGTAAGCAAGGTCTCTATTGCTTAGTATCCTGTCCACACTGTGTTATAACAAGCTTGACTGCATGATATGCAAGATGTTAAGGAGAAACATTGCATGGTTGACTATGTACTTAAAATTGATGCATTTGGTAACATAAATAAATAAGAACTACATTCATTGAATAAACAGGATTCTTAAATTTAAAATGTTTGGGTACAATAAGCACTCTCCTTCTTAGATCCCATAACATCTCTGGTAGATTATCTCCTATTTTTGGGTGATCAATATAACTAATCTAACCTATCTATAATAGTTAGGTTAGATAGTAATCAGATTGTAGGCTATATATCAGGCAAGGTCAACATACAATCCGCAGGCCAGATCCAGCCCATCTAATGAATTTATGTGGCCTGTGATCAATCTTTCAATATTAGCTATTCAAGTCTGAATAGCTCGATGAAAAATTCTGATGCCTAAAAGAAAAGGTCAACAACTCACTGTGCGTTTAGAGTTAACCCTCCATTACAAATCTTGTAAGTACAGCGTAGAAATTTGATAAAGCATGATAGTGTGAAAAATGTATCTTTAATCTCTATCTACAATTCTGTCTCTACGGGGTGACACCACAATGAGATCTCGCACCACCTCAAAATCTTCCTAAAGCAGCCTCTGGAAAAAGTTCTCTTTCCAATTAGGCCCGGGGACAAAAACTGTTGGCCACCCCTGCTATATACTACTTAATAAAAGGCTTTTATATCTGGTTTTGAACTGCAAACTGCAAATCTGAATTCGAACTAAAAATGAAAAATTTGTTTCAAAAATAAGCAGATAACACTTAAAATTAATCAATCAAATGTGATAACTGGCTATAAGAATGATGCTTATTCTTAAAAATATTTATATTTCTATAGAAATATAGAATTTTTCAGAATAGAATAAAAATTTCCAATTAAAAACACAAATACAAAAGCTAGCATTTTCCAACAAAACCAAAATGTGTAACCTTTATTATTTCGAATTATCATTATTTAAAAAGATGACAACTTTATCAATGTCATTTTTATGTTTATTACCTTTTAAACTAAAAATTATTAAATTATATGCAGTAGAGTTCCGTACAATGCACAAATAAAGTAAGGAACATTCTCAAATTTTTTTGATCAAAGGTATACGTTTTTTTTCAACTTATAGGCCAAGGTTTAAACTTTCATAAATCGTGTGATAATGCAGGCTTCGATAATGCAATTTCCTATAATGCGCAATGAATCCCCCGCATTGTATGGGACTCTACTGTATTTCCAATAAAATAATTACTTACCAATTACTCTATTAAAGAATTAACAATTAATTAGTGGAGGAGCCAATTAATAACATTAACAATTAACAAATGATAATCAGTACATCACAAGAATAACAAAATATAAAATCATTATAAAATATTTACATACCTTTAGGTTGTCTTTGTCTGTGATAAACATGTATAGAAAATGGACGTGTAAGATTGGATTTTATAACTCTTATATCAGTATGATTATACTTATGAACTGCTAATATTTTATTTCCATTCCAGCTGGTAACATATAAATATTGTTCAAATACTGTAATTCCATATAAAATTCGCATCTGTAAATATATATACTTCATTTATATAACTCACTTATTAATTATATTAAATGTTGTTAACAATAAATTTATAACTTTAAAAACAATTATAATATAAAAATTACATAATCAATTTTATTAATTTTCTACTATATTCAATTCCATTCCAAATTTTAATTAAAGTTTGCAGGCTTCAACATCAAATTCAGGATTTATTTCTAACAACAAAATGTATTAAAAAATATTTGAGTTTTTCAGTTTTATTTTGTGTTCTGTTATCATTTTAATTAATTAGATCATAATATTATAAAGTGTATTCTTAAATCTAAATGTGTTTTTTTGTTTTGTTATCAATTCGTGTTAAATATTGCTTGTGATGATGATGATAATAAATTTATACTAACATATAATGTTAATTTATATTATTTTCTAATTCATATAAATTAATAAAATAAATGTCAATTTCCAGTTAAATAAATGTGTTTTGAGAACATGATTAACATTTTGTGTTTGCATTTGAAAAATATATAACGTTTTTTTAATAGGAAAATAATTTAACATTCTATGATATTGAAAAGAATTAAGAAGTGAAATGTAAATATGTAACCATTATACTGAAATAAAAATTTTTACATTTTTTCAAATAACTTACAGGCATTCCTCTGATAACAGTCCTTCGATTTGAACCATCATAATTAACTCTTTCTACAAAATCTAAATAAGTATCCACCCAGTATACGTGTTCATTAGGAAAGTCTACAGTCACTCCGTAAGGATAAACTATTTTGTGTTCTACAAGTTTAACACGTTCTGATCCATCCATGTAAGCTTTTTCTAATAATGGCGCAGTACTTCCCCATTCCGTAAAAAACAGGAAACTAGAAATAATCATACAAATACAATATAATGTAAGATATAAAAAATTATTTATTTTATATTTTATAAACAAGTCCTGTCAAAATTTAATATGTAAACAATTATTTTGATAAAATATTTATACTATACAAAATAGCACATTATATAAATATTTACCCTTTTGTTGGATCCAGAGCTATTCCACGTGGTTTACTAAGTGCAACATCAATAACAACTATACATACTTCTAATGTTGAATTACACATAAAAATCATTTCACGATTATCATCCAAGAAATACCAATTTCCAGATATCCAATCTAATGCTAATTGATTTACAGCTTTAAAAAGAAAATTATATATAACAATTACATTAAAAGCTATTTATTTTAATATAATAATTTTAAAATAACTGAAAATTATTGATATAAAAACACAATAAGAAAAAAACAAAAAGTATCAATATAATACTTAATATTCAGCTGATATATTTGATGAGATGATTTAGCATTATCATTCAAAAACTAATACTAATTATATTAATGATATAAACATTATAGAGTGAACAAAATTAGCATAAAATGTGGTCACTGTAAATTAAGTTTCTCAATACTAGTTCAGTGAAATTTATAAATTTATTACAGAACTGATCTGAAAATGATTGATTTTAACAAAATATGATTAAATAGAAGTTCATTGTTTGAATTAGTAGTTAAAGGCATCTGATGATGAGCTTATAACAGCTTGAAAACTGTTTTATGCAATTAAATAAACAAAAAGACCACTATAGAAATAAGTAGCAAGTTTCCTCAATGTATTTTGAAGATTAGTTAAATTAAGTTTTAATCTTCCTTAACTTTTGAAAAGTTAAAGAAAATAAAAGATTGATTTCATTAATGTTTGAAAAATTACTTGAGAAATTACTTTTTCATATTTATATTAACTTTAATTCTAAACAGCCACTTTTGTTTTCAAAAATGTTTAACTAGATAAAACAATCTACTTTCTAAAAATTGTTTATTTAACATAATAGTTTATATTTAATAAATATTATATTAAAGATAGCAATTTGCAATTATCTGTATTAACAATAAAAATAAAAGTACAAGTCATTCAAAATCAAAACAAAAATAAAAAGTTTGAATAAGTAGTAAGTCTATATCAAAAATACATTATTTAATTTTGAAAATATTTTTATTACTATAATATCCATGCTAATTATAGTACCATTTAATAAGAGAAATCTAAAGGTTACAGATTTATGATAAATTGTAATCACTTAATTGATACATATTCATGAAATTTTAATGTATGAATTCTGAATTTTATGTTAATTGAAAGTAAGATGAACAGGCTCTCAGCATTTAATTCATAAAATAGACTATTTGAACGAAAATGTTGCTAACTTTTGATAAAAAGCATAGACAAAAAAACATCACTATCAGAAACATTTCCAATAAAATTTGTAGTAGTATAGAATATTAAAATGCAATATAAAAATAGAAAAATCTCATAAATATTAGAATGTAACAAAAACTTGGCCATTATGAAATTTGAAAATGGTCTTTAGAAAAAAATAAATAAATTTCTTGATAGAAATTATCTTGTAATTGGAGGAAAAATAGTCTTTTGAAAAGTTAAGCATTTCAAAAATTTTTAAATGCTTTTAAAAATTCGTTTAAAGAATTTTTTAAAATAATTTTAATTTTAAAAAATCCAAAACTAATTTTAAAAATATAGGTAACCCCTGTATAACACGGCATTTCTATAGCACGGATTCACTCTAACACGGTTCGAGAATTGGTAACATCCCCTGTATAGCATGGATTCACTCTAACAAAGTTTGGAAATTGGGTAAAACACTCGTACAACATTAAATGTAATGAAGGGTGCATTCTTTTATACCTCTGCATAACTCCGCACGAGCATTCTAATTGTTTTTGTGGCTACTTTGAATGCTCTTTCAACAAATAATCCAGTTAATGGTTAAATTATACAATTGGGACCCTTCTTTTGCCTCTAAAAGCTCATTTTAGAATTATAGATTCCTCCATCACAATACTAGCGATAGTGCAGGCGCTGCCATCTTTCTTTCACCATCGTTCCTAAATGCCTACAAACAGCAGCGCACTCCCATTGCAGAGCGACCACTATTTATGAACGCACTTAGTAATGAAAAAGAATAGCATACTTTTGCCAACTTCTGGAATGTAACCCTATGTTTTGCTTTAGTCCTTTGTTTTGTATAGCATGGATTCACATAACATAGCACTTTTTTGGAACATAATACCGTGTTATATGAGGGATAACTGTACTATAATTTTAGTAATCAATTGATAGAAACATAACTACCTGCAATGCCAAATCCTCTTAATTATTAAGTAATTAAAATTTAANCACTATCAGAAACATTTCCAATAAAATTTGTAGTAGTATAGAATATTAAAATGCAATATAAAAATAGAAAAATCTCATAAATATTAGAATGTAACAAAAACTTGGCCATTATGAAATTTGAAAATGGTCTTTAGAAAAAAATAAATAAATTTCTTGATAGAAATTATCTTGTAATTGGAGGAAAAATAGTCTTTTGAAAAGTTAAGCATTTCAAAAATTTTTAAATGCTTTTAAAAATTCGTTTAAAGAATTTTTTAAAATAATTTTAATTTTAAAAAATCCAAAACTAATTTTAAAAATATAGGTAACCCCTGTATAACACGGCATTTCTATAGCACGGATTCACTCTAACACGGTTCGAGAATTGGTAACATCCCCTGTATAGCATGGATTCACTCTAACAAAGTTTGGAAATTGGGTAAAACACTCGTACAACATTAAATGTAATGAAGGGTGCATTCTTTTATACCTCTGCATAACTCCGCACGAGCATTCTAATTGTTTTTGTGGCTACTTTGAATGCTCTTTCAACAAATAATCCAGTTAATGGTTAAATTATACAATTGGGACCCTTCTTTTGCCTCTAAAAGCTCATTTTAGAATTATAGATTCCTCCATCACAATACTAGCGATAGTGCAGGCGCTGCCATCTTTCTTTCACCATCGTTCCTAAATGCCTACAAACAGCAGCGCACTCCCATTGCAGAGCGACCACTATTTATGAACGCACTTAGTAATGAAAAAGAATAGCATACTTTTGCCAACTTCTGGAATGTAACCCTATGTTTTGCTTTAGTCCTTTGTTTTGTATAGCATGGATTCACATAACATAGCACTTTTTTGGAACATAATACCGTGTTATATGAGGGATAACTGTACTATAATTTTAGTAATCAATTGATAGAAACATAACTACCTGCAATGCCAAATCCTCTTAATTATTAAGTAATTAAAATTTAACACATAATAAATTACTTTTTGCAATTAAAAATCATAAATTGTGAATATAATTGATTCTAATATTCTTCAAAAGAAAAGAAAATATTCTAAAAGATAAATTTTACGATAAACTTTTTTTTTATAGTTAATACTAAAAATTAAATAAACAAGTTTAAAAAAATTAAATTTAATAAGAGATGACACCTAATGCCTACCTCTAGTAACAAATTACTTGAATTTAATAGATACATAAAAATATAAATATGACTTTTTACAAAGGTAAAACCTTGCTTTTGTCCTTCTTTTCACCGTTGTAAAAAGTTGTATTTATATTTTTATATATTTATTAAATGTAAATAATGCCACCCATGTATTTCTATTATTTTTACTTAAAATTAGTTGAAATTTAATTATTAATAGTAGAAGAAAAAGAGCCCAATGCATTACAGCAATCATTTGGCATTGATTAAAAGTTATTACTAAAACAGTTAATACAAATTTAAAAACAAAAGATTTAATTATATTAAACTTCATTTAAAAACTTGTAAATATAGAAAATTAATACTTACATGATAATGAAAAGAGATTTGTTTGAGGTAGTGACCATGTAATATGAGGTTCATAAACTTTCCCACAACGAACAGATATCATTGAATTATTATGATTTAACTGGTAATAAATACATTGAAAAACTTTAATTTTCATAAATGATATTATTTTATATTTACATGATTTTAACATAAACATGAATTAAGTATGATNCAGCCACTTTTGTTTTCAAAAATGTTTAACTAGATAAAACAATCTACTTTCTAAAAATTGTTTATTTAACATAATAGTTTATATTTAATAAATATTATATTAAAGATAGCAATTTGCAATTATCTGTATTAACAATAAAAATAAAAGTACAAGTCATTCAAAATCAAAACAAAAATAAAAAGTTTGAATAAGTAGTAAGTCTATATCAAAAATACATTATTTAATTTTGAAAATATTTTTATTACTATAATATCCATGCTAATTATAGTACCATTTAATAAGAGAAATCTAAAGGTTACAGATTTAGGATAAATTGTAATCACTTAATTGATACATATTCATGAAATTTTAATGTATGAATTCTGAATTTTATGTTAATTGAAAGTAAGATGAACAGGCTCTCAGCATTTAATTCATAAAATAGACTATTTGAACGAAAATGTTGCTAACTTTTGATAAAAAGCATAGACAAAAAAACATCACTATCAGAAACATTTCCAATAAAATTTGTAGTAGTATAGAATATTAAAATGCAATATAAAAATAGAAAAATCTCATAAATATTAGAATGTAACAAAAACTTGGCCATTATGAAATTTGAAAATGGTCTTTAGAAAAAAATAAATAAATTTCTTGATAGAAATTATCTTGTAATTGGAGGAAAAATAGTCTTTTGAAAAGTTAAGCATTTCAAAAATTTTTAAATGCTTTTAAAAATTCGTTTAAAGAATTTTTTAAAATAATTTTAATTTTAAAAAATCCAAAACTAATTTTAAAAATATAGGTAACCCCTGTATAACACGGCATTTCTATAGCACGGATTCACTCTAACACGGTTCGAGAATTGGTAACATCCCCTGTATAGCATGGATTCACTCTAACAAAGTTTGGAAATTGGGTAAAACACTCGTACAACATTAAATGTAATGAAGGGTGCATTCTTTTATACCTCTGCATAACTCCGCACGAGCATTCTAATTGTTTTTGTGGCTACTTTGAATGCTCTTTCAACAAATAATCCAGTTAATGGTTAAATTATACAATTGGGACCCTTCTTTTGCCTCTAAAAGCTCATTTTAGAATTATAGATTCCTCCATCACAATACTAGCGATAGTGCAGGCGCTGCCATCTTTCTTTCACCATCGTTCCTAAATGCCTACAAACAGCAGCGCACTCCCATTGCAGAGCGACCACTATTTATGAACGCACTTAGTAATGAAAAAGAATAGCATACTTTTGCCAACTTCTGGAATGTAACCCTATGTTTTGCTTTAGTCCTTTGTTTTGTATAGCATGGATTCACATAACATAGCACTTTTTTGGAACATAATACCGTGTTATATGAGGGATAACTGTACTATAATTTTAGTAATCAATTGATAGAAACATAACTACCTGCAATGCCAAATCCTCTTAATTATTAAGTAATTAAAATTTAACACATAATAAATTACTTTTTGCAATTAAAAATCATAAATTGTGAATATAATTGATTCTAATATTCTTCAAAAGAAAAGAAAATATTCTAAAAGATAAATTTTACGATAAACTTTTTTTTTATAGTTAATACTAAAAATTAAATAAACAAGTTTAAAAAAATTAAATTTAATAAGAGATGACACCTAATGCCTACCTCTAGTAACAAATTACTTGAATTTAATAGATACATAAAAATATAAATATGACTTTTTACAAAGGTAAAACCTTGCTTTTGTCCTTCTTTTCACCGTTGTAAAAAGTTGTATTTATATTTTTATATATTTATTAAATGTAAATAATGCCACCCATGTATTTCTATTATTTTTACTTAAAATTAGTTGAAATTTAATTATTAATAGTAGAAGAAAAAGAGCCCAATGCATTACAGCAATCATTTGGCATTGATTAAAAGTTATTACTAAAACAGTTAATACAAATTTAAAAACAAAAGATTTAATTATATTAAACTTCATTTAAAAACTTGTAAATATAGAAAATTAATACTTACATGATAATGAAAAGAGATTTGTTTGAGGTAGTGACCATGTAATATGAGGTTCATAAACTTTCCCACAACGAACAGATATCATTGAATTATTATGATTTAACTGGTAATAAATACATTGAAAAACTTTAATTTTCATAAATGATATTATTTTATATTTACATGATTTTAACATAAACATGAATTAAGTATGATTTAAGTATGAACTAATTGCATATCATTACAATAAATAAATAAAATCATAAATAAAATATTTTATCTCAGTTTCTAAACTATTTTCAGTTTTATGATTAAAAATGCATTATATATTTATTTTTTGAATTTTTTATCTGCAACTATAATTATATATTGCTATAATAAATTTTCATAAACTTTAATTTCTGTTTAATGATTGTTATTCTTTAATATTAATTAATATTAGTGAAACTGTTATCAATCTTAAAAACTGAATATTTCATTATTTTAAATGAAACTAAGCTTTCTACATTATATGATAATTGTAAATCTTTCAGTTCCAACTTATAAAATAAATATTATAATATAATATTCCAAATATTTCATCTTCATTGAAACATTGTCAAGAAGAAAAGAAAAAAATCAAAACAAAGCATCACATATTTTAAAAACTTTCTGTTAACATAAGCATATTTAAATAATTTCTTTAGCTGAATTTGATGAAAAATTGTTTTAATAAATGATCAGTCAATGCAATTATTAAATTACAGAATGAAAAAACAAACATGCAAAAAAACTAAACTTTTTCAAAAACATACTAAATTTTACAGCTACTTCAGTAAATTATCATCTGTTATGACAAACTTTGAAATATATCACAAACCCAAAAATCAAATACTTGAGATATTTTAGAAGTCATTGATTTATTCGGACAAAACATTTTAAGGCATTTATCATCTCAACTCAGCAGTCTGTTCTGCAACCAGCATAAAGTATAATATAGTAGTAAACAAGATAATCTAAAATGAATAACAAATATATTAATGAATCACAAAATACTCAATCTAGATATTACAATATAAAATAAAGGAATTAATTGTCTATGGACTGATAATGGTATTGGCTTGACTTTTAAGAATGAGAGCCAAGGATCAAACTTAGGCTCTTCTCTTTCGTTTATAATCAAATCTAAATATGTAGATATTGTTAACTCCTCTGCAATCAGGTTCAGATAGGTTCTTAGTATTCATGATTATAAAAGTATATTTATATCATTGTATTTCTTTCTTTGTGCATTTCTGTATGTGCTCAGTAGTTAAATTTAAATCCTTTCCTATAATATGTTTCATAACTGTTTTAATTGTTAAATGTATTGTTGTTCTTCATTCAATTAACATTTTTCTCTTGTGTGTTCTTGCTAAGAGGTGAAGTAGAATAATCAGTGTCATGTGTAAGGGGAGGTACAGAAGTCAATTCATTCCTGGTTGTAAGATAGAGTTCAGTTGGAAACTAAAGATAAAATGAAAGATATCTCAAAAACATTTTATCCAAATAAATAATGATTCCTAAGATATCTCAAGCATTTATTTGTTTTTTTGGTTTATGATTTACTTCAGTAAACATATTATATCATTGTATTATTAAAATATTATTTTCAAAATAAAGAAGAACTAACCCAACAATAACTTCCATTTCGATGATTAAAATCCATTGCAAGACTTTCCTTAGCAACTGCAGAGTAACTTCCTTCAACATTTGATCCATTCAAATATATGTGTTGTATATCAACTGAATTAGCAAAAAGTAATGTGGCTGGTTGATCTTTTGGTTCTAGAGAAAATAGAATTAAAATAATCATCTATAAAAATATTCTTAACATCAATTCAGTTAATCTGATTTAAGCTTATTTAATAATAATATTTTACAAAGTTAAATTATCAGAAGTTTAATCATTATGAATAAGTTATATTAAAATGTTCCAAAGTAAATGTAAATTTCAAACTAAATTTCATAATAAGGATTAATATACAGTTAAAAACTTGATTATTAATGTTAAGTTTTAAAATATTTTATAATATTTATATTTTAAAAATATTCATTACTTTAATGTCGCATATTAAAATGATGATGTAAGTTTTGCAAATTGATTTTAAACTGAGAAAAGAATTATGTAAATTATAAAAAAGTCTCTTATGGCATGGAAATAGAATAGTGCTGCCATAACTTGCGTGTCAGAAAACAACTAAAAAGCATCATTGGGTCAATCAAATGGTAAGCAGTTTATGATCAATTATGAAAAGAAAACAAACTACTTTTAATAAAAGAGCTAATACTGTATCCTTTCAAGAAAGAACCAGTGATACCTTTAAGTAAAAAAATCTTGCAGATTATCATCAAGTAAAGAAAACAGTTTCAAAATTTAAGTTCTGGAAAACATCACTTACTATATCTACTATAGTTGATAGTTTATAACATTCACATACAAACTATCCAAGTATAAAAAGTTCTTTGAACTTTGCAAGGGAGCTACTGAGACAAACATTGATATAATTTTCACGTAAGAATATTGTTGGACAATCGAAAATCAGAAGAAAGAATAATTTCAGCAGATGTTCATTTTCAGTGGATATAACTCAAGTAATCTTCAAACAAAATTTTCACTTAAAACCAACATGAAATGGATCTGGAAATATTCAAGTGGTTAAAAATCTCAAATTGATCAAATTTTAATAAACAGTAAACAAATGCAGTGTGTCCAAAATTATTAAGCTGTAGCTTTATGCCCATAATCATTTAATTATAATTATATAATAAATTAATATTTTGTTACTTTCAAATGCATTTCTCCCAACTCTTTTTTCTATCTCTGTCTATTGGTGCATGCTTCCTGTAGTGGTGTCTATCATAGGAGAACAACTGTTTTTCTCTTTCTCCTATTTATATTTTATTGTTTTCTAGTTAGGAAACAATGACCAGAAAAGATTAACAGGCAAGAAGTGAAGGAATTCCTAGGTCATTCTCCACTTGACTCATGGTTCAGGTATTTTTATTCCCTTTGGAAAGTTTCAAGCTGACAGTGTGATCAGCTTGATATCCAATAAGGACATAATGAAATAAGGATTAGATTGATGGGATAACGTAATGCAACATGAACTTTATTTGGTAAGAGGTTAGTGTGACTATTTGTATTTATTACCAATAAATACAAATACATCACACTAATCTTGTATAGCCTTGCAGTTAATTTTAGAAACGTAACACTAATGTTTTTGATCCACCCTAGGACCTTCTTCACATGATCTATAAGCATTTTTCTGGTGCGATCCAAGTTCGATTTAACTTCTGATTTTAAACATTCCAAATGTTTCTATCTTCAAATTTTTTTAAATTTAAAATTTCCAAAGATGTGCGCCTGCGTCAATCATTAAAGCACCAGGTCATATATAGCCTGCTCATAACCTGCCATGCTCTCGAGAGTTGTTTTTCATCTTTAAAATTGATTGACAGGCCTTTGCAGTCTGTTTTAAAATCTCTAATGCCTCCAGATTCCGTAGTTGGTTTTATATGCCGAGTTTGCTGGATTATTGTCGCTTGTTGTAGTTCAGGTGTAATGCCACTTTCACTACATATATAGCTAAGGCAGTAGTGCTCTCTTTTCAATATGTGTTTTTTGTTCACGGAGGCATTGTTCGAGCAATATTTTTGTAGATCTGATATATACGAGATCTCTATCAAATCTGTTATCTCTTAGAAAAATTTTATACACTCCCAGTGTTCTTTCAATTTCCACCCAATCTTTCTCATAACGTATTTGTATCTAGCAGTTTTAATGCTTTCTCTCTACTCCTTGTATAAGCTAGATTTAAGCATGACATTCCCTTGGTCAATTTGAATTTCAGTGACAACTTTTCCAGCAATTTGGTAGTTACAATTTGTATGCAGTTTGCACAGTCTTTTTGAATTTTTAACACCACTCTGTCAGTTACTCCCTTCATTCTAATGTTCCTAATTTTCCAATCTTTAGTGGCCTATCCAAGGTCTACTGTATGTACTGTGCAGAGACTCTGTTTTGCTGAGATCAACATCAGTAATGGAACTCACAGAATGTTTTAATTTACAACCTGCAATTTACAATCACAGCATCAGAACATACTTTTATTATGGAAATAGTTAAAAAAGTGACAGGTGTCAAGAAGTGACCATTAATTTCACATTGTTATTAAAAGAAATGGAGGCATAGAAATGCATTCACCAAAAAACATCTCACATCTCTGCATTAAATGAAGTTTATTTAGTCTAGATATTACACACAAATTATATGAACATAATATTGATCAAACTACTGTTTTCATGAAAAAAATTATTTGTTATTATGAAATCTTGTATTTCATATAAAATTAAATCTATCTTTATTGTCTTGTAACTGTAAATTAAAAATTTATAGCATGTGAAACTTGTTAATTTAAATAGATTTCACTATTAAAATCAACAAAATTTCAATACACAGGTGACATCCAAATGAGATAAAATCAATTAACCGTAGTGAAATCTGTCCAAATTACAGTTAACAGGTTTAATATGCTATAATACTGGAAATGATGCTAATGTCACTTAACATGTTTTGCTTCCAAGCTCCTCATTTATACTTCAAATCTAATATGCACTTAATTTCTCAGCTGCTCAAAATGTTGAAAAGGGTCACATTAAAACATAATATGGTAACATTTTTCCAAAAAAGGCTCTTAATTAATGACATTTTGCAAAAATAGTGATAAATGAAAACATTTTGGTTATTTTGAAAAAATTTTAAAATTTTTATTTTGGTTAAAATAGTGACAGGTTCCAAACCCTGCAATTGTAAATTGCAAGCATTGCTGAAGTATAGATGGATTCTACATAGCATTTGCTCAGTAAGAGTTTTGAAACTGTTGTGATCAGACCTCTCTACAACCTCATTTCCAAACAACACCAACCGCTAACTAGGGTGCCAACTGTTTTTCAGTGAATCCCACAAGACTACACTTATAAATAAGCTACCAGTACTTACAATTGAAAAAGCTATATTTTTTTCATTAAAACAATTTAAAGCTACATAATTCAAATTTTGTACTTTCTTGAAGTATTGAAGTAAATATTAGTAATTATTATACTTAAATTTAATTAGTATGCATAATGTAATCTTAGATCATCATTCATATCATGTGATACAACAATGTGCACATTCAAATCATTTCTGTTGTTCCCTTTCCATTATGTGCTGCAATAATTTTTTTTTTTTTTTTTCGTTTTTCAGGTTTAATACCAAATTCTCTGCAATTTCCAGGATTTTCAGATCCATTGGACACCTTGATATAACAGCATGAAGGTATACTCTGACCATAGAAGAATACACACACAAAATTACAATTGTGCCTCAGAACTAAAAGAATAAGGAACAAAGGGACGATTATATGCAACCTGTAAAAATAGTGAAATTTAAGTGCTCATAAAAAATTTCAGATAAACATAAATGCTGTATTCTCTGAAAATGTAAATCAATAGATTAATTAATACAAATAGCTTAAAAAATTGAAATAATTGTAAATAAGTATAAATATGTAATGAAGATCAAATAAATTAAACTTTTATTGTACAGTATAAAATTAATTTCCTGTTACATAAATATGTAATCTAATAAACAAATATAAATAAATTCTTGGATATTAAAAATATCTATCAAAAGGTATTAAAAAAAGTTATATTAATTAAATTAAAACAAAAGAATAATTGAATATTTCACTGTTAAACAAACTAAAGCATGTTATATTATACATATATATGATGCAAATATAAATATTAACTTATTAATTAAAAAATATATATAATATCCACAATTGTAAAGATATTACAGATTGTAGTGATTTAAATTACTGAACAGGATATTAAAATTATATTTTAATCAGTCAATATCAGTTTAATAAATATCATTGTAAAGATTATTATTGTTTTCTTAATTAAAAGTTATTTTAAATTTCACATTTATACTGCATTAATAAGAAACAGAATTTTGTACTAATTTAAAATTGAATGAATTATTGAAAATGAAAATACTTTCAACTTTAATTTATTGTCACTAACAAAGAAGTGTATAGTTACAGTTTTATGTGAAAAAAAAAATGTCATTGGACATTCAAACTAGGATTATAACTATTGGTAGTTTACATTTGAGCAATATCATGACTAATTAATGATAAAAATAAACTGCAATAAGTTACCTTATTAATTTAATTATTCAGATTGTTTGTGTATATTTGTCAGAATTGGTATTGTTGTCAGTTCTGTTGTGATTGGACATATATGTAATTTTAGGTTTGCTTATCTTTCAGAATTGTAAAGGATCTGTCAACAGAAATGCATAGTTATCTCAAGGCAAAAGATATTTGAATTTTAGTATACAACTTGGAAAACAACACAACTTTCCTTGAAAGAAGTACAGAAATATGTTCAAATAGACAATATTTTGTACATCTTTAATTAAACTTCTCTATTGATATTAAAAATTTTTTTAAGTCAGACTGTAATACCAATACTGATTCCACTAAAAAGTCTCAATTCTAATACAATTCCCAAGTTTAATTCTTTTCAAAAACATCATTGGATATAGTCTCAAAAGCTGTCAACTTAACAGCACTAGCTTTCAGGATTGCCAGGTCATTTTCATTCAAATAAATTAAACAGCTTGAATAAAGGAGCTTACATAATCAAAACTTCAGACTATGAGGCATTAAATAGAATTAAAAGTTCATAATTGAAGTTTTTGACTATTTACAAAAATATAAAATTTTCAAGTCTATCTTAATCCTTTTTTATACAACACCAGAAGTAACAGTTAACATGGTTTTTTGTTGAAGAATAACTTCTTAAAAAACCAAAGGTAAACAAGTAAATTTTTTAAGAAGTTATTNAATATAAAATTTTCAAGTCTATCTTAATCCTTTTTTATACAACACCAAAAGTAACAGTTAACATGGTTTTTTGTTGAAGAATAACTTCTTAAAAAACCAAAGGTAAACAAGTAAATTTTTTAAGAAGTTATTCTTCAACAAAAAACCATGTTAACTGTTACTTCTGGTGTTGTATAAAAAAGGATTAAGACAGACTCGAAAATTTTATATTTTTGTAAATAGTCAAAAACTTCAATTATGAAGAATTATATCCCGAGTTATTACAGAAATTGTAGAATTAAAAAAAATATTTTAATCTTCCAAGTGCTTTCAATGTAAATATGTACGTCGTCTTCAGGCAATTCAAAATCGAATAGAGAATTCAAACAAAACATTTAAATTTAAGCATTAACGATATTAGCCATTTTTGTAATATAACTATTAAAAATAATAAGATTTAAATTTTAGAATTAGACATTTAAAATTGGTACGCATGCGTTTTAAAACAAACAAACTCCGATTGAAATGGCTATTAATTAAGATCATTGAAATTATGAAGCCTTTTTTGTAAATGCAAAAAATTGGCACACATGCACCTTAACACGCATAACATAAGAGCCAATTAGAATGGCTCTTATGTCATTCATGTTAAGGTATATATTTCTTTAAATATTTCTTTTAATTCTATTTAACGCCTCATAGTCTGAAGTTTTGATTAAGTTAACTGGTGGCATGACATCCAAGCCAAGTATTTAATACACCTAACGAGCTTGCATAAATTTATTGTTGCCATTTTTTACCCTGAACTACTGTAAGTTAAATTATTATGTTAGAAATCAATGGCACTGAGTAGTATATCAAACGATTTATTTTAAAAACCTAACTTTTAGATTTATTTAAAACTAACAGCAATTACATTATCAATTTCTTGTTTGATGTCATCAATTAAGAGTTTTCAATGTAGATGAAGCATCAAAATATATAAGGCACCATTTATTATGATATCATTAAATAATCAAAGCATAGTAAAAAAATTTCAATGGTAAAATTTTGACAGCAGTTTGGGCAGAACTATAATTTACTTCTAATTGTTATTATTGTCAACAGTACATTAATGTGAGAATCAGAATTTATTTAATTAATTAGCATAGGAAATGTATTTAGTTTTACGAGTTTGTTTACCAAAAAGGAAGACACATTCAACACTTTTTACAAAAGAAAATCAACTTCCTTTCCCACAGGACTATCGGTAATTCTGACTACCATCTGTGTTTTTACCCCCTCTACATGTCACGGTGCATCCTGTTGTAACCATGGATCATTTTATGCCATTGGTCAGAAAACCCAATAAAAGGGTAGTTTTCCCGCTGTTTGAAGCAGTCCACAAGAATTTGTATGGGAGATGGAATTTAACCTCTATCTCCCGTACTCCTCTGAAGACTACTGACCAACTTACATCATAAGGTAGTATAATTTATATCATATTTGTAAACTCCCTCTCTCTCTCTCTCTTGTGAGATATAGGTAAAAATTGTTACTTTCATGTATAAAATAGGAATTTAATATTCTTGCAATATCATAATGTTGTATTTACTTCGTTTGATTTATTAAATCTTGTTATTGTTATATAATGGTCTCGTTACTAAGCGCAGCTCCAAGTTTCGATCAAAGTGTGTACCCGCAATCTCTCCCACTCATAATTGTAACAGCCCTTCTTTTTAAGATTTAAACTCAAACATGTGATAGGGTACAAGAACTATCCCTATCTGGTGTCAGGAATCTAGACAGGAGAAGACAATCTCAGGATTGCCTAATCTCCACATTTCTTGGTTAACATTTTTAACCGTTTAATGCCATCCTACAACGCTGTAGGCAAGTCTTCCAGACTTGACTGCTGAGTAAGCAATATCAAGAGTAATAATTAGCTCGATAACTCTGGCTGACTTCACATTAACAAAAAGTTTAATTTATGTGAAATATAATCCTAAATAGGTTTTAATTTCCAAAATAATTTCCATGTGCCAAATAACCTTTAAAATTGCCAACCTGCTACACTGGTAAATTTTAATAGTCTGTGTAACTGTTATTTCTTACCACGGTTTCATATAAAAATAGAATTGGAAGTACTTGATTGTTAATGATTATAATTTAAACAAATTTTATTATTACCTGAAACAAAAAATTAATTTGTTAAAAGTTAATGTTAAAGAATCATTTTAAGAATCATAAATTATGATTTCTCTTGATTCTGATACCTATGTGAAGTAATTGCCCCATCACTATATATTTCAGACAATTTACTTACCATTGATTGCTATACAATATTTTCCTTTCTCTAAATAATATCCATTTACACAGCTGCAATTGGGTAAACCGTTCACATTTTCACATAATTGATCACAAGTTCCTTCAATATGGCATTCATTTGTATCTACAATATGTAATGAGATATTTTACAATTATAATATAATGTATAATAAAAGATAACAATACAGTATTCTGTAATAAATAAATGATGAANTTTGTAAATAGAAAAAGTAAAAATAAGGTTAATTTAAATATTTATCACCTTCTTAATGACGTTCCTTCTATTTATAAATTTATATTCTGTTCATAAAAAGGAAGAGAAATAAAAATATATTTGCGTGTTTTGCATATTTAATTTTTAATAAAATTTAAAACTTGAAGATATTAATAATAATAATTTAATATAAATTACAACTCTATTATCATTACAAAATTAAATTTATCTTAATAACTAACCAATAAAATACATTCAGTGTATCAAACTTAGATAAACAGAACAAAAAAAAAATGAGTAGATGAGATATATTAAATATGTCATATAAAGTATGTTGCATATATTAATTACAAGTGCATATGTAACAAATTATAAAAATGATATAATAATATATAACCTATGATCTTTTGCATATGTTGTTATTGATTTACTATAATTTTAAATTTTATTTCATTTCAAATGTTCATTGTTTTATTCATGTTGATTTTTGATTTTATTAATTTCTAATAATGAACTAAGTGCTTGAAAGCCTTCTACATAAATTATTGTTTACTTAAAAAATTTTACTGTAATATTATTTTGGAGAATTATATTAATATGTGTTTGAATTTTGAACACTAATAAACTTGAACTGTTACTCCAACATGAATGTTATACAGAAACTCAAAATATTACAAAGAATTCTAGAATAAACTTTTAAAACACTTCAAAATTTTTTAATTTAAAAAAACATTTTTTTTTAAATTTTAAATATACAAATGTGTATTTATAAAATTAACTCGGATATTGTTATAGTATTTTAAAATAGAAAAGTAAGTGATGATCAAACTTAGTATATAATGTGTGCTTAGTAAAAAATATATATTATAAATGAGGAACATTTGATGTATTATATATACAGTACAGCATCAATTATCCAAATCAATTGGGGACTGGGGTTGTTCAGAAAATCGATTTTTCGGATAACCAATTATGTACGAAAAAATATATTAACCTATAACCTATCCCAGTTGAAATTCGTTCAAATTCTGGCATGTTCTTAAGTACCCTCTCATACCCTGCCAGCTAAAATATGCAACCAACAAAAATAATATTGGATAGCCCAAGACATAATCAAAGATTGCAGCGCCACAGCACTAGCGGAAATTTAAATTTGCCGACTGGAAAGCTTTCAATTAATTGACGTTTCGATTGATTGATATTCAGATAATCGATGCTGTACTGTATTATAAATGATAAACATTTCATTTTTATCATTATGTTCATTATTACAATAAAGAGATTAAAATGTACTGAATTTATTTTTTTTTATATATATACTAAGCACACATTATATATTGCGTTTGATCACATATTTACATATTATTCTGCAATTCTTTCAAAAGTAAAATATTCTTGAACTTTTTATAAAAGTATGACAGATAATCATTTGATTTTAAATTGTTTCAAATTATGATATTTATTCCATCAAATAATAACAAAATTCTAATTTCTCATTAAAATTCCATCTAGAGTCACATAACACAAAAATTTTTATTATTGAAAGGTCACATATTGTATATTTTAAATAAAATCTCGTTTACTATATAAAATATATTATATTAAATTTAAATTTAAAAATCATTATTTTAATTTATATACCCTTTTCAACTTAATTTTGAATGAAAAATTTAAAGTCTTAAACTTCATTAATGAAAACAAAATTAAATATACTGTATATTTTAAAATTATAATGTAATGATTTTGAAAGTATATTTTTGAAAATTTTGATTTTCTTCATTAAATATGATTATAAATAATAATGAACGTATATACAGTTGAACTGTTTATACATTTCTTAGTTGTACATTTTTCACAATTATACATTAAAATTTTCTGTGAAACTTCCAAAGACTTATAAGCTGAACACTAAATTTTCAGAGGCCCATTTTTGGAAATGCCTGAGAAGTGGGTTCTATTATTTGAACAAGCAGATGTTTGTATTTAAGGTTATGTGCACATTAAGTTTTGTTTGAATCAAAGACCCAAACATCTGGTCCCTCCTTGTGAGAGTGAACTAACCCTTAGAATGATTCTTTATTCTTTCACATGACTGAGATTTCAGCAAAAGGAGACAACTGTTGTTACATATTGTACTAGTATGTGGCAAGCCCATAAGAAAAAGAAACAAACAGGACTTGGTCAATTTTTAAAGTATGACAACTTAATTTTACAATGAGTTTACCTTTCATTTTATATGTTGTTCAAATATATTACACATGTATAAATTGAAACTTTCTGTTAAGAATTACATATACAAATTTGGTTTTACAGTGTTAATTTGTGCCATGACATACTTTTGTTATTACAATATTTACTCTAAACTCAATTTCAAAAGTAGTTTTTCTTATATATTTTTCTCTTACACAATATTTTTCTCAATTAGGTTTTCTCCCTGAAAAACATATAAATTAGGTTTGACTCTGTTTAAAAAAATATACTTACCAATACAATCAGTTTTATTCCTATCACTGCAGAAGCAAAGTGGTCCTTGAGGACTTTGCATACAACCATTATCACAATTTGCTGATGCACATGCATTAGCATTTTCTGTTAAAAAGAATAGTTACTACATTAACCATTTCCTAAAAATCAATTTCATTGAAAAATAATATACTAAAAATGTTAAATATTAAAAATATAGAATAGTATTGTAAAATTAATAATAAACTTTATATAATATAATGATGATAGCAATATTATTATCTTAAATAATTACTGTTAATTGGATAAATATCTCAAATGTAGAATAAAAAAAAGCAGCACAGATTATCAATGAGTGGAACATTTTGATGATCATAACATTAATGAAACTGAATTTTATAAACCTTTTACATACTACTGGCTGAGAATCACTATTCTATCTCTACTTTTGTAAGTTTGACAAATTACATCCAAAAAGCTAACAAAAGTTTCAAGAAAATAGGCAAAAATTAAAATTTTTTCTTGTTTTGGTGACATCAATGATAGAGAAGAGTAAATATGGATTTGAGTAAAACAAGAGTTAGGGAAGAATGTAGTATTAAAATCTGAAAATATGCAAAAGTGGAGACAGAACAAAGTGGTTCTCAGCCAGCAATATATTGTGTTACAATACAAAAATTATTCTACATTCAAATAAGTCACAAACTGGATATTAATATCAAATTATCAAAACTTTACTAACAAGCACTAATTTTTTAGTTTAACATTTATTTAGTTTTGGCTGTCTTCTGAATTTTCCACATTAATATACACAAAAAAAAAATATAAATATAAAATAACACAATTCAACAAACTTTCTATAAATAATTCTAATAACATTTGGTAATGAAATTCTATCATTCAAATATAAGTGCATGTTATATTGTAATACCTTTTAGAATACAAAAAAATATATTTGAGTATACATGTGTAATAAAATAATCACTAGGAATGTTCAACTAGCTTAGAAAATACATATGATTTCCATGTATTTGGGAGTATCTCAACTTCTGGAGATTGATGAGTTTTTTGTTTTTTTTTACTAATTGTTTGTAATTTTCTGCTAGTTCCATTGGGTGCCAATTTTTGCTGATTATTTGAAATCATTCTACTTATTAACAAATATAACAGGCTTTTTTGTAAACATGTTAAATAATTGTAAAATACATTATTTGTAAAATCAAATATTACAATAAAAAATTGTCATTACAGTAAAACCTCAATTTAACAGACAAAATTTCCAGCCATATGTCATATATAAAAACTAACACCCTGTTAATTTTAAAATGCCTTTTATATGTAATTAAATTAACAGGTTATTTTTTTCAAATCCAAGAGTCATACACTCTTAATGTGTATTTTCCAAAAAATGTTTATTTATTTCAATTAAAATTGTACTTTAATTGCTACTTTTATAATTTACACAATTTCAATTCTGAGTAGATTATTTACAGTACTATGTAGCTTAGAAAATGTGATTCAAATAAACCCACACATGGGTTTATTCAAGAACTGTGGACTTATTATTTTTTTTTAATGCTACTGGAATGTGTGTAATTTAAAACTGTAGGTCTAATTGATACATACTGTTTTATGTTAATTGGATACTGGTAAGAGTCTAGTTGATGTGAATGCTTGTTTAATTTGGCAACATCCACAATAAGAAAAATTCTAAAAAATGCAGATAAGATAAAAGCTTCATCAAATAGGACATCAAATTTTTTTTATCAACCAAAGTAACTCATTCAAGAAGTCATTTGTTTGAAGAAATGAAAAGAAAAACAAAAAGCTTAGTATTTGGGTGGATGACCAAACACAATACATGCCTCTAAGTCAGTTGATAATTATAGAAAAGGAAGAAAGCATTTTCAATCATATTCAAGAAAAAACCAAAAATGAGTAAAAAAAAACCTGTAGCTGGCATTGGTTGATCTGATAGATTTATAACAAAAACTAATTCCTTCTTACTACACATATCATTCGTGAAATGAAAAGTCCAAATGTCAGAGCAGTACAGAAATTTTACGCAATTCTGAAAGCCATCTTGGAACAAGAAAGCTATCTTGCTGAGCTTACTTTTAATGTATATGAAACAGAGCTTCGTTGGAAAAGAAGTAAACAAATGTCATAATGATTCCATTTTAAGTGATATGCTTAGAGTTATTAATCTAGAAGTTAAGCATTACATAAAAAATATTTAATTAGCATTCCATTTTCAGGAATGCAATCTGAGCATTAATCAGAGTGGTGTGTGGGTGTGTGTGTATGCATTAATTGTTTCACTATAAATTTAAATATTTTAAATCTATAGTAAAACTTCTAATTATATCATTAGTCAGACAAATGATATAATTAGAAGTTTCGTTGTAGGAATTTCAATCATAAATAATATTTAATTATTTCGTATGAAGGCATATTCATAAATTAATACTTACGGCAAAATAATCCTTCATCTGAATTGTCAGGACAGTTTGGAATGCCATCACATAATTCAGATATTTTTTTACATGTTTTTCCGTCTTTACAGTGAAAATAATTTTTAGGACACGTATTATCTTTATGGCCTATATTAAAAGAAAAATACAACAAATTAATATCAAATCAAAAATTGTATCTTTGGAATTTAACTAAGATTAATATCCATGACAAGATCAAATATATTAAAGCATACAGTAAACATCAGCTGACTACAAAATTTAGTTTATAAAGTAAATTTAAAAAATGTATTTGTATACAGCAAAAGTTCAAATGTATCTGCTATAAGAATATTTTATGTGAATCTTTTATTAATAATACTTTATTCATTTATATACATTCACTTTTCATTATTATATTGTACCAGATAAAATTGTTTTAAATAATGAATAAAAAATTATTAAAATTATCAAAATATTTTTGATTTAAATAAACAAAAAAATACTCAACCAAACAACTGCCTTAACAAATGGGGCTATAAATTTGCTATTATTAATGATTAGATATTAAGTAATTTGGTATTAGAAATAGACATTAGGTGCCAACTCTTATCTAAATTAATAATTATAATTTTTAATAATTTATTAAATAATTTAGAACTGTCTGGAAGAGAAAAACTAGCCCAAAGTGGGAACATGAACCTACAACCTCTGCTTACCATGTGGTGCACTTGCCAGTCCTCCCAGACCTCCAAGCAAGTCTTTGCTTCCAAACATATCTAAATTACATGCAATTACACACTGCACCAGCTGAGGACGACTCCTACATCCACATCATAAATACACCCCCATGTGGCACTCACTGGCTATTATCCAGCACATGGTGTGTGTGTGTGTGTGTGTGTATATATATATACAGTAGAGCGTCGATTTTCCGAAAGTCAATCATCCGAAAAAATTCCAGTCGGCAAATTTAAATTTTCGCCAGTGCTGTGGCGCTTCAATCTTTGGCTATGTCTTGGGCTACTCAAATATTTTACGTTTTTGATACCAAATTAACATCTGAAGTATAATTTTTTATTATTTTTATATTTTTCAATATATTTATTTTGTTTGTACAAAATAAAAAAATAATTTTTAACGATAC